GGGGGGGCTCCACACACAAGAAGACTCACATCAGTGTCCTGCTTGCCAGAGCACATACTTTAATCAAAATTAAAAAACGTCAAGCCATCCAACAAGAGAAAATATTCAATCATTTCAGGTGATTTGGCCCTCAATTTACATTTTCCGAATTCCTTTGCCGTGGGAAGTCCATCTGTCACTTAACCAAGTCCAGTGAGACAAGGGTGTGAACCAAGGTGCCAACAGGCTGATGGGTGACTCCTATGATAGATCGGCTGGTGTCGTGCACAGTATTTAAATAGCAGCACAATGCTCAACCAGCATTTAACAGAACTTTCCTAACATGCTCTTTGAAGGAGGTCTGCCTAAGCAGCCGGCAATGAAGAGTAATTTTACTACAGTGTACCGCTGCTCGACCACTGCTACATTCAAGGTACTCAAAGCAAACACAAAGCACTAAAACTGAAAGTAGGAAGTGAAAGCCACTGCACTGCTGATATCAAATGCACAGCGCCTTCATTAATCTACCTGAGTGGAAAAAAAAACCTTCATTGTGTTTGTATAATGGTTTGCTTTGTTTAGCTGCTATGGCAACCAAATATGTTAGCTCTGTGCATTTAAGGGTGTACTCACAGTGGGGTTGTTTGGTCTGAAACATACGCTAGCTGACCGTATTCATGTCCCAAAGAGTTGACTGGGAGGAGAACTGGGGTTCTCTAGATTTGTTCTTTTCAAGTTTACACAAATAAATGTTTTGTTTCATTTGTTTAGAAGTGTATTGCTCAGATTGTTCTCCGTAAGATCCTTACCCAGCTGAGCAATGAAAAAAGCCCCTATGTTAAAAGGCCTGAAATATTCAGTATTATTGTCTGGTTAAGGCAGGTAAACTGTCAGTTAGGATAAGTGCTGGACCTCTGTGTTGTGGTGGGATCACAAATGAAGTGTCCACTTTTCCCTGAACCATGTCTGTCCTCTGTGCCACAACCAACAGCCTAAGGTCATTGGTGTCATGTCCTATACAAAGCACAAGACAAGTCTTTTTGCCAGAAAGTGCTGATTCTGATTCTACTGCCTTTTCGTACTTTTTGAATAATTAAAAAAAAGAAGTGCAAGGTAAGAGAAAAAAGACATTTCCTTGGATGAAACTAACAGCAGCCAATACTGGGGCTTCACACTGACTGGTAGACTCCATTACTTTATTTATAAATGGAACAACATTTCAGTGTCAATATAAAGCAGACAGTACTGCAACTGTTAATCTTTCACGCAAAATGTAAAACAAAGCAGCTGTGAAACTGATCTTTTAAAAGATGATAATTACTGTATGTACCTTATTCTCATTGTAACTCTATAGAGTCTCTGACCTCACAGCAGCACAAGAGGGAGGGTTACCATTTAACAGAAGCAATCAAAAAGGAAAACCAAATAAACCAAAAACTGAAAACATCTACCGAGAGGCATTAAAATGACATGTTTCAGTGCATTTCTAATGCCTCTTAGTACAGTATATAAAGATTCTGTGGTATGTGTAATATAAAGGATAGTGTTTTAATGACAAATTAGAGGTCTTTTAGAAGGTACAGTACATAGGTGCTTGAAAGAAAAAAGCGTTTATCAAATTTCACTTCACAGAAACAAATAAATGCCTCATGCGTGTGGAAACACCTTTTGTATGATTCAGTGGCATTATTTGGGTTACTCTGTAAGCTCTGGACAGTTTATAAAGAATGCATAAATTATATACATTTACTGTAAGTAACAGATTGGAGTAAATTAATAAAACACAGAGCTGTTTCTGTTAAACTCCTTTTGCTGCATTCCTGACTTATTTTCAGCAGTTTGTGAAAAATGTATAGTATACTCGCTCTTAGACAAGCACTTAAGCATTGTTTAAGGATACGATTCAACAAAATTGCATTTCATCCGATTTCGCTACTTCGCTACAGAAATTGTCTCTTCATACGGTTTGAGAAGGAATGAAATTAAGTTCTTGTACTTGATCCATAAGGCATACTTTTCTTATGATGCTCATTCAAACTCTTAGGTTTTATGGGCAAATAGTTGGAAAACAAATTTGTCTGCCTAACCTTTGTGGTCGGAAAATAAGGGAGCACATTTTAATTGGCCTTCCAGCAAGTTCATTTTTTGTATGCTAAAACTGAAGCATAGACTCTACCAGGCTTACATTAATGTATACATTAATATATAGTGATATTCCAATTTTACATGCTTAATCTTGGGAACTGGCTTATTCACACTTTTAACCCTTCTGTTGCTCTGTTTTTGACCTTTTTAAATATTACTCTTTTATTCAAATTTAACTTGTATCTTTTTTACTTTTCCTGTTCCACTCTGTTATTCGTATAGAGCAGATAGTGCTTTTGGGAGAAAGATTTGAAAACTTGCACAGATCCAAAATATGACTAATGACCGAACGCACAGAACATGCTTGAGGAAACCAAGATGAGGTTTCCTACATAATATTGTAATTTAAAATGAAAGTTCATGCACTCTTCATTTTATATTGTAGGGTTTAAGAAAAAACAGCTAATTTGACATTAAGCATTTAATTATTCGATAATTAAACAGTGTGCAAAACAAACAAAAATGATGGATGCATCCAAGCACAGAGGAATGTTGAAACATAAGTCAAACGATGTAATTTTCCATGTCATCTTGGATTCAGGTACACGTGCTGCTCAGCTTTTACGGAGATACTTCACAGGTTAACCACAAAACCTCTCTCCTCTGCACCTTGCGTTCTCACGAAACCTCACTGCAGCTCCTACACTTGAACGAAGCTATGAGAAACCCCACAAAGAGAGACACTTGCCTGGTGATCGCGGTGTTTGGTACGGAATAATAGCCTCCACATTTCAGACACAACTGGCTGGGCACTTCCATGTCATCTTCAGCCTGCCTAACTGCCCTTTATCATTGTCAGGGAATGACGGTCACTAGCCGGCACCAGCACTCTTGCAAAAACACACACCAGTACATATGCACAAAAATGGAGAGATAAACAAATGTATGCAAATAGATTTCTCACAAACAGCTAGCCCTTCTCTGTTTGGGGGGTGCTGTTGAGAAACTGGAGGAAACAGTGTAACTTCCTAAGGAAACCACATTTTAGTCACTGCTTACTCACAAAAAAAACTTACCAATCTGACCAACCCAAGGCAGGGTGGTGAATTCACTGTCACAAAACAGAATTTGTCTTAAGTATGTTACTCAACTGGACGACATTATTATGGCAGCATCATTAACTGTTCAAACCCAATATTTAGTTCTTCATTGATTCTACTGAACTGCAAAAAGGAATGGTACATTGAACAATGACTTTTTTCAAAATCAATGCAAAATTCAAGATGTTTCTTGAAGCATATCTGTATAATGTGTACTGATTGTTAAATATCATCATGGAAAGTCTTTTGCAGAACAGTAATTATTAAATTCCACAAAACGTTTTTTTAAAGAATCCCTTTGCGCAATTCTTTTATCTTTATATATTTAAATCTATCTGCTAATCGCAACAGTTATTATTTCAAGAATGTAAAATATGAGCAAGCTATTCAATTTTGTTTTTTTCTATTTTTTCTATTTAAAACTAAATGGTGCAGGGTTGCATGGAAAGATACAGAAGAGGCTAACCAGGTTTAAAAAAGCAGAAGAGGAAATTTCTACTGACAGAATTTCATTTCTCAACTGAATGTCTTGTAATACAGCGACAGAGACTCACTTCAAAACCAGAAGACTTTCAAAAAGCCTACACTCCACACGGAACAATACCGCTTGCACAATATTTCCTGGACGAGCCATTCATTAAAATTGCTTGGCTTCATAATCAAACATTACAGATTCAAACATTTTACTTAACCAGGAGATTTGCGAGGACATATAGAACAGCCAAAGATGCAAATGTCTTTGCCAGAAAGGAGGGTAAGGATGATTCAC